ATCTTCCTCCTCTTCTGCATCCTCTGATTCATCCTCGCTGTCCTCAAAGAACATTGACTTGATCACTTGCTGGCTCTTGCTTGCAGACGAGCAGGATGGCTCCATCTCACCACTGGCAGGAGATGCTCCCTCGGCTATCTTTTTTTGGCAAGTACCAGCATCCCCTCCACCAGCCACATCTGGACCATGGGAGGTACTGAGGGTTTCAGAGCACAATTTGCCATTTTTCTCCTCTTCTTCACCCTCTTTATGACGCCTCGAGGGCTCCTCCGCATCTACTTCACCATTCAAACTTGGCTCCCGGGCATCCTCCTGGGTTACATCTTTGCCTGGTGGGCCCAGCTTGCCCTTGACACAGTTTTGCCCATATCGAGTCAGAAGCTCCTCAATAGTCATTGCAGCCTCCTCATGCAGCAAGGCAGTCTCCTCATTGTCCACTGCATGGGAGTATTGGGGGAGAAAGTGCAGCCAGTCTCAATGTCACATCCAGATACCTACCTTTTTTAAATCATAGCTCAGGAAAGTAATTTCTTATGACTAAAGGAACAGAGTTTTACACATATGGCATCAATCTACTTACTAAAATACAGATGGAACCATATTTCTCACTACAAATTGCCGGCCCTAAGGTCACATGTCACTATAACTGGGCCCGACACTAGTTTTCCTAATCATATAAACTGTTTTTACCAAGCTGCAAGTGATTGGGGTGTGTAAGTGCAAACATGTTGCTGGATTACAATTCCCTTTACCCCAATCACCAGTAATGCTGGCTTAGAACTGTTAGTTTTCCACCTCCTGTTTTGTCTAGGGTCTTTCTTAAAGTTGGTAGTTAATTATGTTTCCTTTAATATAGGGAATGTGACCTCAGACATCCTTCCACTTTAGGCATTTAATCTCAGTTATATACAAGGTTGATATAAGAGCTCTCTTTGTGGTACTTGGCTTTTGCCTCTAATCTGCACTGGACTGCAAGTTGCCGCTTCACTCACCATCATCTTCATCTGCCACTTTCATCTCTTTCTCATCACCCTCATCTCGAGACCGGCCTGACATCAGTGCTAATTCCTTGATCACTTCTTCCATTGTCAACTTGGCATCAATGGCCAAAAAAGCATCTTCAAGTGCCTAATAAGAAAAAAATAAAGGATTTCTTTGTGACCATCATTAATATTAGAAATAATTTAAAAACAACTAATCCAAGAGATATGATACAATTCTTAATAGCCCTAATAAACAGGCTAATACTATACTGCACCACAATTGATACCAGTGGCTAAATAATTTCTGTCACTTTCTCTTTTGTTGTTACACAAAAAATAGCCAATTTATAACCAGAATTGGCTTCATATTTACACTAAACTCTAGTTTTTAATAAGCAATTTAGATTTTTTACAACATAGTCAAAGAAAATATCTTAAAAAGATTAAGATGGCAAAGAATCATGAAACAAAATCCTTCACAGAATTAGCTGTACTTCTTTGGCATGCTCCTCTATAGTTTTGAAAGACAGCCTTTCTATCTTACCTTTTGTAGTTTGCCTTCTTTATATGCTTTCTGATCCTTGATGATCTCTGGCAGGTATTTGGCACAATACAGGGCTACCTCTTCTCCTACAGCAAAGAGGCCAACAGTAAGAAACTGATAGTCTCGTTTCATCTCAAAAACAACCTCATGTTTGTTTCAGAGAAAACATGTATTAGCATCTCCAAGCTGAACAAATTGGGTACCACCAAAATAACGCAAAGATCCATTTATTAGGCGCACAGGAGTTAGGACCCTAGCATTGACAAATCCATCATTTACAAAATCCAGAGAGGTTAATCAGTCAGACCATCAAAACTTCCTACAAAGGCAATGTTGTAATAATACAGGTAGTCCTCAACTTACTTAGTGATCGTTCAAAATTATTGCACTGAAAAAATGACTTTTTTCAGTTACCATCTTTCCAGTATCCCCATGAACACGTGATCAAAATTCAGATGCTTGGCAACTGGTTCGTATTTATGACCGTTGCTGTGTACCAAGAACATGTGATCACCTTTTGCGACCCTCTGACAAGCAATGTCAACGGGGAAGTCAGATTCACTTAACAACTGGGTTACTAACTTATCAACTGCAGTGATTCCCTGAACAACTGAAGCAAGAAAGGTTGTAGAATGGGGCAAAATTCACTTAACAAATGTCTTGCTTAACAACAGGAATTTTGAATCCAATTACGGTGGTGAGTTGAGGACTAGCTGTAACTGGTCAACCTCGTCAGTTTCAATTAGAAACAAGTGCCTGCATAACCAATTTCGTTGTATTTATTTTATACAATGACAATAAAGGCTATACTATGTTTTAATCATAAGAATAAAGAGCACTGGCAATGAACCTCCTCCAGCGGTGGGGATGTAAGGATCCACAAGACAGCCTTCTCAAAAGGCCCCGTCCCAACAGATGTCCTTCAACGAGTGGACACGTGGTTATTGGGTAACCCTTACCTCCGTGACCATCGTATACCGAGAACATTGCCGTCTCGCTGTCTAAATCGGGAATGCAGTTGTGAGCATCCTGAAAAAGAGAAGGATCGGTTAAAAAGAAGGAAACAGCGACTACAGCGGACCAAGCTCTGGAAACTCCCAGCAATTTCAGAAGAGGCCAAAGAAAGCAGGCAGATAACACAAGCGCAACGGTCCTCCGCAGCCTACCGGGGCCACTGGGGCACCGAACTATCCACAGCTCCGCCAGTATAGGGGACTCCATGACGGGGTGTGTGCGTGTGTCTCTAGCCGTTAGCCCTGAGAATAACCAGAGCGCTTTTCCCCATTAAAAGCCGCCATAAGAAACGAGGCTGCGGCCTCCCGCAGGGCAGAATCGCCCAGCAAGACACCGTTCTCCCGCCCTCGGTCCGTCCCGCCCTCACCTCCATGGAGACCCGCCAACCCTGCATGGCGCTGTAGCCGAAGTGAAGCGGGCGCGGCCCAATTCCGACCCCATCCCCGGAACTCTTGGCCGTGCTGGGCTGCGACAGGTAGGCACCCATGGCAAGGCAGGCGCGGGCCCCGCCGAGCCGAAGAAGGAAGAGCGGCAAAGGCTGAAAGCGAACGGCAGAGGGGAAGGCGATTTGGGGACCGGAAACAAGACACCATAGAGTCCCCGCCGAGGAACCACGGGAACCGGATGTGACGCCGATAAATGATACGAAGGAAAAAAAGAAAAGAACGAAAGACGTTTCCGAGCAGAGCGGCTGCTGCTAGAGCGGGCGAGGGAAATTAAAGGCCGTGGCACGTCAGAAGGGAATGAATGGGAGAGTGGGAGGGGAGAAAACCGGACGGGATGTTGCAAAATCATAGACTATGAGGAAGAAAGGGCGTAGCACTGGTTGCCCAGCAACGAAGGGAAAGGCCTGGAAGGTATTTTACTTCCATTTACTGAAGTGGCGTTTCTCTTTTGCAGTATTTCATTTCCTACGCAAGTCTACAGTACTGAATATCTACGGAGATTCTCAGTCATCCAAGTCATGGTTGTTCCAGAGGTGCTTCCCCCCCCCCTCCTCCAAATAGTACTGAGCCACTTCCATCATGTCAGGCAGGGGGAATAGGAGGCAGTGCATAGTCAATCTAGTATCAAAATGGTAATTTGTCGCATTGCTTAACAGACATTATATTAAGGGAGCTTTACACTAAAAAGAGGGGTTAGAAATGAAGGATTCCCTATATTAGAAAAATGGCAGTTAAAAGGTATGAAAATTATATAGTCACATTTACTAATAAACTATTTTAAGGCAATAAATATAACTTGAAATAAAATATTCTGTGCTGAAAATCATTTGGAATTGAAAATCAAACAGCCAATAAATTCCTTTACACAACTTTATGTGCACTTAAATTAGACGAGTATGTGCAATTGTATCCACTATAACTCAAAAAGGATATGTAGAGTTAGGGTAACAAAATGTGATGGAGTAGTTAAAATAGTCATGAAGAAAATCTGTGGCTGCTAGGACTTGACAGCAATTTAATGGCAAATACTTGTAAAAAAAATGGAGACTTAAGTTCAAGTCTACAGTCAACTGTGGAAACTGACTGGGCGAATTTAGGCTTTACACTTGTAGCAATTGAACCAGTTTTGATGGCTTTAGATAGGGCAGTGGTTCTCAACCTGTGGGTCGGGACCACTTTGGAGGTCCCAACGACCCTTTCACAGGGGTTGCCTAAGACCATCAGAAAACACATATTTTTGAAAAAATACGGAAAATATAAAATAATTTTATGGCTGGGGGTCACCACCACATGAGTAACTGCATTAGGAAGTTTGAGACCCATTGAGATAGGGATTACACAAATTCATGATATTGCCTAGTAACCAAAATGACAACCACCAGCTGGGGATAATATCTCAATACCAGCACCTGAAGAATTAGAAGCTTTAATTAGAAAAGTTTTGATATGCTAATTTATTTAGATCACATCTCAGATAAACCACATACATCAAGGTTTGTGTAGTTTCCGGCCAATTCCAGCAAAACTCTGATTTACTCAACTATGATTCAGTGTACAATGGCTACATTCAGGCTATGTGGGAACCAGCTGTTAATTCGTGCGTTAAGTTTTCTGCTCCATTACCAATGTTCAAAACTATTATGAAGGGCTGTCTCGATAAAAAAAAAAACTATTATCAAGAAACTATTACGATCAGAGGGAGATTTTTTTTAGCCATGTATGTAATTAGCGGCGTTTCCATGATGAATCTAAGAGGAACTAAGGCGCAGCCAATTCTCCCTTTGCTTCACGCAGCGATCAGAAAGCAAACTTTCTCGCACTGGCTCCGCTTGGAAATATAGAGCAGCTCCAATCTCCGCTTGGAAATATAGAGCAGCTCCAATCTCCGCTTGGAAATATAGAGCAGCTCTCTGGGCGGACTGGTTGTAGGTCACGCAAAGCCCCGCGCATTCAAAAGTAATCAACGTGCGCAGGACTATCTCGGTCCATTTTCTGCAGCCATAAAGGCCCCGCCCCGTCGCCTCGTCCCACCGGAGCTCGGCGGGCGGCTGGAGTTGAATGAGAACAACCGAGGGGCCCGCCTTGCAGCAATCTGTCCAATCCCAACGCGCCTTTGATGCGCAGGTCGGCTTCTTATTGGCTCGAACTAAATCCTGCCTTCGCCGTCCCTGGTGGAGCGCCTCCCGTCGCGGCGCGGCTGGTCGTCTCTTAGTTGGGCTTCAGGTTGTGAGCAGTGGCGGAGGCTGACCTGCGCCCCGGTGAGTTCTACATTCGTGGCTGCGGGGTTGTCGTGGCTGGGGGACAGCGGTCTCCCGTCGCCGGGGTGATGGCCATGGACGCGCCGAGGCCTTGTCACACCGGGTTGGTAGAGCGCGAGGGGCCGGCTTCCCCCGTTTGCCCCGCGCACTGGGGGGGGGGGGACGACGGGCCTGCGTAACTCTGGCGGAAGCGCGTCGTCCTGGTGCTGCGTCACGAACGGCCTCCGCCCCTCCTGCCCTCCTGTTGAGAGGAGTCTCTTCTTCCAACGTGTAGGTCGCCTCCTCCGTCGCGGCGATGTCTGAGGGCGAAACCAAGCAAGTATCGGGCAATATCGGCTCCGACCACAAACCCGAGGCCGCGTCTGCGGGATCCGGTATGACCTCCCTTTCGCCGCCGCTAGCGACGGCCACCCAAGAGGAGGAGGAAGAGGAAGAAGAAGAGGACGAGTCCGAAGACGAGTCCGAAATCTTGGAGGAATCACCTTGCGGGCGTTGGCAGAAGAGGCGGGAAGAGGTAGGTGACGAAGCCCCTGCGTTCCCACCGTCTCCGGCTGACTCGAAGCTGGCGCTTTTGGGAGGCCTGCACAAAAAAGGGAGCAATCCCGAGGAGGCTGGGGCTATAGAAAAAGTTCCTTTACCCGAGAGCTCTGGGTGCCGCCTTCTGGGATCCACGCTGCAGAGGTTTGTAGATAAACAGCTGTCAAGGACTGTGAGAGGGCCAGTTGGGTCATATAGTGTGGAAGTTGAGATTTGACTAGTCATAAGCGGTTTTTAGGACGACTTAGACAGAGACAGAAAAAGTAGTAGTTATTTTAATACGGTAGTAGGTTTGGGGTGAAGTGCCTCTGTTTATAATCAAAGTAATCCAGACAGCATTTCAATCCGATATTTTCTTGTTTAGGAATCTGGGGCTTTTGCAATTGTATGTCTAGCCAGATGTGACTTGTCTGTTTGGATTGCTAGGATTTCTTTTTCCAACCTTATCAATAGAAAATGGGACTTGAACTAAGGAATTTGACCGAAAATTATGTGCTTTACAGCTGTTATAAAGAAACTCTTTTTGCCCAAAGAGAAAAACAGTTTTTAAAGACATCTTGAGAAATCTATTGAGGTTTTATTACTTATTTTGCTATTTTTGTTTCATTGGTCTCCCCAGATGATTTCCAAGGGGACTACCAATACAAAACAAACACTTGAAATTTCAGTATCAAAATAATAGAAACTGATTTTAATGCCAGGATTGTAGATTGTAGTCCCGGAAGCCTCCCCTTTTTTTACTGTTGCCAAGAAAACAGCACAAACATGTCCATGAAATCACCAGAAGTTTAGTTTGACTCAAAGGGGATTTTAACTGAAGACATGTCTAAAAAGAAAAGCCTTCACTCAGCTCCTGAAATGATCTGCCATAGCTCCAAGAATGTGTAGTCTATAGCATGGGAATAACATGTGAGAAAGACCTTTCCTATATGCCTGGCAATTGTTGAATGGTCTTTAAGTAATATATGGCTCTGGATATCATCCCATCTTCAGTTTTCTGATGTGGATTCAGTCCTTTAGAACCAATGTTTTTTTCCTGCTTCCTTGACTGAAACTTGATTGGGGTGTGTTTTGAGGAAGTGTCCTCTTCCTTGATATTTTAAATACAGGACAATATCTCTTGCTATTAAGGAAGTTATTTATGAGTTAGAAAGTATTTTGGATATTTTAGGTGATTGAACATGGGAGATTAACAAGATCATAACTTTATATTGAAGATTTTAGAACAACCTTTTGAATAGAGGCTGTGTCCCTTTTTGTGAAAACTAATGTCCTGAAAGTCCTGAAGGTTATGAAGTCTAGAGGGTTGGGATAATGGGTCATTTGGCTGGGGAAAAAACTAGCCATCATTGCTGATTTTGAGGAGAAATTGACTTAGCTGGGCTAGCATAGATATTTACAATGTTATCGTGTTTGTGTATTGAAAGTCTTGATTTAGTCATCCTGATGATTTATTTTCAATAAACTGTCATGAAGATTGAATGCTAGTAGTCCCTATTTCAAAAATTTTGCTGTGAGGGACCCTTGGCTAATTCTGTATTGTCTTCTGCTTTTTAATTCAACCCTAAATCCAGTGTAGGATGCATTGGAAAGACTTTCCTTTAAATATGCAAATACATAAATCTTTAGATATACAAGATAGTTTTCCTTTGCTGAATACAGAAAGACAAGATTCATGCCCTTCTCCTTCTGTGACTATCACTGTTACTAAAATAAAAGAAAACACAATCTCTGCTATGGAGTTCTCTGTCAGAAAATGTAATGATGGTGACTACTGATGGACTAAATTTGGGCTGGATGGCCTTTTGTTGATCAGGAATTTAACATTTGGAAAAAGCTGAAGACTCGCAAGTGGGTAGGAGCCACAACTAGTTTTGGAAGCAGTTTTTCTTTTTATAAACAAATACATATTTGTAAAGTACAGTACTTTTTTTGAAACAGAAAATTATGCCTTGAAGCAATCACCCAGAGAAATCCGAAGGCCAGAAAAAGAGGGCTGTAGATTTATTGCTTCTGGGTTAGGCTATTAATGGCTACATTATGGATGTATATACCTTTATTATGAATAATATATTTGACAAGATCAGTTGAGAACATGAAGAGGGGGACAGCTTTTATATTTTTCTATTTGTGAACTAAACATAGACATTGATATACCATAGCAGTTTTATTAAGATTTTCAATTTCTTTTCATCTTAAAAAGTTAAGGCTAATATGTTCTTTAGTAACTTTGGAGGGAAAATCAAGTTAGCTTCCTTTACAGATTCTCTTTGTAGCCTTTGTTTAACACTCTTTATCTCCTCCCCTCTTGTGGTCCATAACTGAGTGTAGTGTTTTGTTCGGTCCTGAGCTTTGGTTGCTTTGTCTTTTGCCTTGTTTTCTTCCTCCTTTCTTAAAATAGATTTGCTAAAGCCTGCTAACCATGCCACCAGCAGTTTAGCTGGATGATTTTGTATTGCTGGTTTTCTGTATACATTTTTGACTCAGCACTTTAACATCCTCTGCTGTTTGCAGCTGTTCTCTAGGTCATGCCATTGTTTGATCTTCTCACTTTTCCCCATCCCCCTGTCTTTCAGGAGCAGTGTATACTTTTAAATATCTCTGAGATCATAATGAGGTTGACTCTTGGCTTGGTAATGATGTGTGACTCGCTGGCTTGACCCACAAGATGATTTGGCTACACATCAAGAAAAGGGAGGGGCAACAAAAGAGACATGTGATTCCCTAACATGAGTTGTGTAATTTTTGTTATACCATCTTACCTAAGACTTCAGGAATCACTGGACTAGAATAGTTATGCTAGGAAATATTTTTAATGACTTCTTTTACGGAATGTTTTGGTAATATCATTGGAGAGGTCAGAGCAAACTTTTCATCTCTTGTGCTCCTGCCCCTTAATACAACACATGCATTCTTACTTGAAATTTAATACATATATTTTAGTACTCTTTTAAAAATGAAAATCATTTCTCTATACTATAATTTTGGTTTTATCCACTGAATTTTGGCAGCTTCAACTTGTGGGGTTAAGGCTACAGGCTGCCTTCTCTTGGATTTAACCATTATAAAGTAAACAGGAATTTGAAGAAACAACTGGAACAGGAAGCTTGAACTTAGAAGAATTGAGAATTATAAGCCTTAAGAATAGGTGCTGCTCTGAGCTTTAGAATTAAAGTCAAGGGAATGCTAAAAATAAGAGTGGCTCAGAAACACAATAATGCTAAGAAGACTTCTGTCATAGGCACAGTTCTCCTCCTGCAGGTCTGTGATGGCAGAATTTACTTTCCTTCCATATTCAGAAAATCTCAAGCATGGGTGATATAAGAGACTCCTCGAGTTGCTAAGAAATGTATAGGTCTTTATATTGAAGTGAAATACAGGTGATTTCGAATCAAAGCTAGAAATATTTTAAGGTACAACTATTGTTCACTGAACAAATTACAGTTGACTGGATGTGTACAATATATACTGCGTAGTATAATCAAAATTAGTTCACTAGTACACAGAGCAGCTTGATCTTGAGTTATAATCTCTCTTTATTTTAAAAGTATTATATGAGCCCAATAATTGAATTCAAATATGGTGATAGTTACCAGTTTACAGATTCAAAGGGGGATTGGACAAATTCATGACTGATCGAGCCATAATCAATAATTTATGGATCTATCTGGTGACGACGTTGACACATGGAAGATTGTGATGTGGAATGTAAGAGAAGTTGGTAAAGAATGTGAGAAAAAATCTTTGATACTTTAAGAAAGAACACACAGTTCAGTCAGTCTAATACAGGAATACCTGACAGATACAGCATGTATACAACAAAGGTGAATCTGAAGATAGTCTGTTTAGTTACTGAACAGCTCTTCATTTTAGGACATTTTCTTGATCTTCAGTTGAAATGTGTTTTCTTGTCATTTAAACCCATTTTAGAAAAAATCCTGTCTATAGTTGTGTTCAGCCTGCTGCAGATAGCAAACTAGAAATATACAGGTAGACCTTGCCCCTGTCTAGCAACTCTTTGAAGTTATGAGGGTGGTAAAATGTTATATTATGACCAGTCCTTGCATTTATAACCGTCTTAGCATCCCTGGGGTCACATGGTTGACATATGGGAGCTTCACAACCAGTTTCTGACAGTGGCAGCAGTAAAATTGCAGGTTACAGCACGGGTATCATTCTAACGGCATCACGTTGCCTTATATGATGTTTCACACTGTTTTTTCCCCTTCACGGAGCTGGGGTGGGCATGGCCTGTGCCTCATGCATCAGTTTGACACCCCTGGGTTATAGTCATGTGATCTTTTGCTTAACGACCAACAGTGACTCTCTTTAACAGCTACGAGTGGGAGGTATAAGTTTGTGGTCATGGAATATTTCACTTAGTGACTGTGTAGTTTGTTAATTGAATTCTCAGTTCCAATTGTGAAAACTGAGGACTACCTGTAAAAACAAATTAGGTTTCTGGCAAATACTTTAACCTTAATGTGAGGTAATATTTAAAACTGAGAGAATAATTTGTAGCCAGAATTACAACGAGATAAAGTCTCTCTTACATTTTCTTCCCATATCTCTGCTATGCAGGTTTTTATGTCTTTTCTCACATAAACCTAAACTCCTTACCTTCCATTTTCTTCCCACACTTCCTCATAAGCTATAAGAGTGTGGTTCTTTCCACTTTGTTATATGGAAGTGAGAGTTTGATATATTAAAAGAAATGTAGCAATAAGTCGAATGTAGTGGAATTGGGTTTTAATGAAGCTATATGGTGAAACAAGAAATAGGACCAAGAATAAATGGCTATTGAATGAATGTGATGAGTGACCAGTATGAAAAGACATTGAAATGAGGATGACTGGGAATCAGATTGCGAAATATGAAAAATGAGTGAATGGATTTAGAGGACGAGAAAGTTCAATAGATATGTAGGGCAGTGTTGATGGGATTCTGAAAAAAAGAAGTGGACAGGTGAAATAGCAATAGCAGTTAGACTTATATACCGCTTTCAGCCCTCTGTAAGCGGTTTACAGAGTCAGCATATTGCCCCCACAGTCTGGGTCCTCATTTCACCCACCTCGGAAGGATGGAAGGCTGAGTCAACCTTGAGCTGGTGAGATTTGAACCGCTGAACTGCAGATAACAGTCAGCTGAAGTGGCCTGAAGTACTGCACCCTAACCACTGCGCCACCTCGGCTCTTTTAAAAAAAAAAGAGAAGCAGACCTTTAAATAGCCTGGCCCCAAGCCATGTAGGGCTTTAAAGGTGATAACCAGTACCATGAATTATAGCAATAGCAATAGCAGTTAAGACTTATATACCGCTTCATAGGGCTTTCAGCCCTCTCTAAGCGGTTTACAGAGTCAGCATATTGCCCCCAACAACAATCCGGGTCCTCATTTTACCCACCTCGGAAGGATGGAAGGCTGAGTCAACCCTGAGCCAGTGAGATTTGAACAGCCGAACTGCAGAACTGCAGTCAGCTGAAGTAGCCTGCAGTGCTGCATTTAACCACTGCGCCACCTCGGCTCTTAAAATATGGTTATCTTGAAATAACACAGACACTATGCTATGATGTGGAGTATAGACATGGTGGAAGCAAGGATGGTTTGCATAAGATTTAAAATTATGGAAAAATACAATATAAATTGTGTTAGTTTAAATTAATTCTAGCTATGCTGGCTTTTGTGTTTTCCCATCTTTTAAAAAAAAATATTTGGCATACTATATATTTCATTCTGATCCTGAAAGAAAATAGTGTGATGTATATATCTGTAGTGGGTAAATATCCTTCCATCTTTAGTGTTTCTAGATCTCCCATCTTCCTCAAGGAGGGAGACAAATTCTAGTTGCGGAGGAGCAACAGAGGAATACATTTATTACGTCCTGCTTTTTATTTTACCAAATTCACCTGTTGTTTTGTGAGATTCGTGAGATTCGTCTACATAGCCTTTGGTCAGATCCAGCAGGATTCATCTTCAAATAGCAATAAGTTGCAGATACAGCAACCTTTTTAGTCTGCCTGAAATTTGGTTTTTATTTTTGTCTATTTCCATCTAGGTTAATCAACGCAATGTTCCTGGAATTGATAGTGCCTATTTGGCAATGGATACAGAAGAAGGTGTGGAGGTGGTTTGGAATGAAGTCCAGTTCTCTGAACGCAAGAATTTTAAGCTTCAAGAGGTTGGTGAAACTGGAATGAAGATTTGTGAAAAGGCAGACAATATCTGTTGCATGAGGACTCAAATTTTGGTGTGACTATGAATAAGTTTCTTGGAATCAAGCAGATGAGAATGAAGGAGTTGTAGGATTATTTTCTATTGTTTAGTCTGCTTGCTTGACTTAAATTTAACCAATGCCTGCGTTACCTTCCATCTTGCAGCCTTGGGCATAAGTGTAGATGAAGAGCTGTGTGTGAAGTAGATGAGCTCAGTTTCGGGCTGTGCTGAAACTCTGCTAATGGTATTTTCCTTTTCTTGAGTTGTTTACACTGTTTTGCTTTGCTGCTGCTGCAGGAAAAAGTCAAAGCTGTCTTTGACAACCTGATCCAGTTGGAGCATCTGAATATTGTGAAATTCCATAAATACTGGGCAGATGTGAAAGAAAATAAAGCCAGGGTACGTAGAATTTTGTGTGATTGTCATTTATCTTAGTGTGGAAAAATATGAAGCACCAGCAGTTGATAACTTCTACCCTATTACTAGGTTATCTTCATTACGGAATACATGTCCTCTGGTAGCCTGAAGCAATTTTTGAAGAAAACAAAGAAGAACCACAAGACCATGAATGAAAAGGTAACTTCTTCCCAACTTCATACTCTTTTCCCAACTCCTAAATATGTGTTTGTGCTATTCGTGTGTATGTGTGTAGTCCTTGCCCAAGGTACTACTACCCTTTCTGCCAAAGACCGTGGGAAAAAAGTCTATCTAGCTATCTATTTAGTAAGCCTGATTCCTGCCTGAGAGTCCTGAGCTAATCCATTCAATTCTGGAGCAAAGTAAAAGGAAACCAGCTGTGATTTGCAAATCAAGAGTGCCCCGAAGTAAGTAGAATAGAAATGGCACTGTAGAGACACCAGATGATGACTTAGTTTTGCAAGAGATGCTGAAAGCTTTTTGGTGATATTCCATTTGCATTGCAGGCCTGGAAGCGTTGGTGCACCCAAATCCTTTCTGCTCTCAGGTATGTATGTGCCTTTACATATTTGAAAGGGAGAATGGTTTTAGGCACAATGTTGTTGTACAAATGATTACACTTTTTCAGAAGCTCAGTGGAATATCTATATTTTTTTATTTATTGTATAAGAAAGGTCTTTGGAGAAAGTAAAGGGAAGAATTTTGCTTCTTCCATTGCTTACTTTGGTTTTTAGAGCCTTTGGAGTATGATATGTTTCAGAGCGCAGTAAAGTTTTCCTTAGAAAGCTAAAAAAAAAAAGACTTGGATTCCAAACAGAAACTACCAACACAACTTTACATTCTTTGGACACCAGAAATAATAGAAATGAGGATTATTTTTCTGTTACTAAAAATACATTTTCCTTCTCTCTGCAAACTAATTTTGTAAACGATGCATTTGTATACCTGGTAGCTGTGATTCACTCTCTATTGTGTTGCTATTCCAGTTACCTTCACTCCTGTGATCCTCCCATCATTCATGGAAACTTGACTTGTGATACCATCTTCATCCAGCACAACGGACTTATTAAGATTGGATCAGGTGAGGCTGTTGTGGAATTAGTTTGTGATTTAATGTATACTAAAATTCCATTCTTGGCTTGCTTTGTTCCCTGATATTGGTTCAAGCTTTATCTAAGTCCAAGGAAGTCTCTAGGGCTTGGAGCATATATTATGTCTGTAAAGCAGGACTCTGTTGCAACTGGTGCCTCTACATTACATCTGTTGTTGTTGACCTCTGGAAACTTCCTGGACCTTTTGCCACTTGCAGGCTGCTCTATCCTCTTTTTGTAGAGTCTCTGTTTACTCCTTTGCAGGCAGAAAACTCTGCTGTCAACTCATTTTTATCTCTGTCATTCAAACATTTGGAACCTTGGGGATGCTGCTTGTTCTTGTTTGCTTCCAAGCCAGTTTTACACTTGAACACACTGATTCATCAGAATTGTAGGGGAAGGCAGGATGGGCAGAGCTCTTTGTTTCGCTTCTTGGGCTGTCAGTTTCTTGTGGCCAGTCTTAGTTAGTGAGCTGTTAGTAAACAAAGCAAAGTATCGCTGTTGGCTGCTCCATTTTTCACAAATATATGCTTAGCAATTCATCTCATTTTTTTTTGTGTGCTGCTTATGTCCTATTCAATGAATTATGCTGGTTTAATTCATGAAAATTCTCAAGATTACTTTTGAAGCTTATGGGACAGTATTAATCATGATTTAACCATGGTTATGTTAATGCCACAAATAAATTGATATAAACATAGTTTCTGGATAGCCAATTATGGGAAAAAGCAAAATTAATACAAATATAATAGTTACGTTGGTCTCAGAAACCCATAATTCTGGTTCCCCAATAGCCAACTTAGATGCCGGGGGAAGTCCATAAGCTGGATAATATGAGCATATGCTTCTCATATTACTTTATTTATTTATTACATTTGTATATCCTGCCACATTGAACTCTCAGAAATTAGTGATTAATATACATCATGTTCTTTATGTAAATAGGTTGCCCCAGTATCCAAAATAACACAATGCTGTCATATTTAGTAACTGTAAAAAGTTCCTCAAAAATTTATCTGATTACCTTTAATGCCATAAGAATAGCATCTTTTCAAATTTCAGTTTCCAAGTATTTAGAGGTGGGCATAATGAATATATTGGAATCAAATTCCTCATAATATAAAGTATTAATAACAATATTTATGATGTGAGTGTCTTTGGGTTTAATGCAAAATGGCTCAAGTAAATAAAACTACTCTGAGAACCTTTCAAAGCTTGCAAAATCCAAGTAGAAAGGAAACACACACGCACATGCACATGCACACCACACACTCCATGAATCAAGCACCAGTAATAAAGTGAAGATAGTTCTTGAAGTAGGTTATTGTATTAACTGATCTTAGTGTCAGTCTTACTTACATGAGATATATCTTCTTGAAAGAAGCGGACATTGGAACAACTCAAACCTCCAAATAACAAAAATGTAGTTCCAAGAGGTATGTAATGGAACAATTCTTCAAAAAAAAAAAGATTTCTAATTCTGAAATTAATCTTACTCTAGATAAAATTAATCGAGAGAAAGACCTTGTAAGTGTTTCCTTGCCTTTTGAGATAGAGGAAGAATATTTACTGGACTAAAAAGTTACTGATTCTGCAGTTGGGTTCACAGACATCTATCACCGTATCTGAAGGACATTTTTGTAGTAATTATCTTCTATTAGGATTAATACATAATTAAACCCAAGAAGTGAACCTAAAACAAACCTAGCTCAACACTGTTTGAATGGAGGGTCATGTTTACTGGCCATCTCTTACAGAAGAACAAAACTAGAGCAGTAGCTACTATGTGTAGTTTGTGTTGTGTCTTGATGGATAGTTCTGTTGGTCTGAGGAAAGAGTGCATGGATTAGAATCTGCATGTTCTGAGCAGGTAATTCACATGAGTTGAGAATAAGCAGACTGAGCAGAGTTTGCTTTGCAGTGACTAATAGCAGCTTAAATTGACATGCAGCAACCTTAAGTAGCTTTGGGATCGCTGTGTTTCCAGGACTGCTTTTCCCTGGGAATAAGGAATAATTCTGTGTGTTCCTCCGAGAACACTTGTGTGAAGTTAGAATTCTTCAAATAGCTATTTGAAATAAGCACCTGCTTTTTCCTTTCTTTGCTCAGCATCCTAGTAACAATTATTAAAAATACTATAATGATGAAAAATTGATCACAGCTGGTAAATGATATGTGCCATTGAAATATAATTAAATATTTTGAAAGGAAATTTAATGCACCCACCTTTTGCTTATTTGATGGAATGTTGAGAAGGAAAGCAAGCAGAAATATGTCCAATTCAGAAGTGGGGAAGACTTCCTGCAAGAACTCCTATTGAAGAATAGGGAGAAGGAAGCTAGGGTGCTGAATGACAGGAAAGGGAACCCATCCTGCATGGAACCGTCTCAGGAGTTATCTAAAGGATCACACAGCTTCCCTAACTGCTTTATAGAAGCATAAGAGTGCAGTAGTGGGTGAATGAGGATCTAATTCTATCTTTGTCCTAATTTATTAAGAAATACTGTTCCATTCTTTCTCTCCCCCTTAAAACAAATTTTGTTTCTTTGAGGTCTTCCCATTCTTCCAATTTTCATTCTGCTTTTTCTTCCTCTTCCCCATTCTATTACCATAGTTAAGGCAAATGCATCCGAGTAGGTTTCCAAACTCAGCAACACCAGAGGCTACCCTTGAGGAGTCCAGAGGCAGTGGGTACAGAGGTGAGGTTGGAGAAATTGAATAACTAACTCAGAGGACAAGTTCTCAATGAGGTGTAGTCCAAAAAGGAGGGAGAAGGAAAACGGTTGGAATGTAACTTAGAAAATATCTGATAGGGATTTACCAGGTAGAGAGTAGCAATTCATTGAATATATTCTTTCCTTGGGAATAGTTGGAAGAATGCTAAAATATTTAAAAATCCACCTTTATTTTTGAAAATTGAAGGAATTGGAGTTAGATGAACAGCATTTTTCTTCTAACCAATCACCCAGAGGTATTATATCCTAAGTGAATGAAATGCAAGAAAGGCTTTCTGTTTTCAGGCAGATCCTCCATCTGAACCTTTTCTCTTCTCCTCCTCCAAGGAAAGGCACTTGGCCAGTGACTTAGGGCATGTCAAATTTGTCAACTTTCAATTTCCAAACATTAGGGGTGCTCAAAAGTTTGACATGCCTTGGGGATGGTAAAGATATTTTGGCTAATTTAATATAATTTAGATGTGCTTGGTAAGTAACTACACAAATATCAAAACTTTTAACATTTTGTTTGTTTCATTGGCCACCCAACAGCAAGTCAAGAGAAAGAATGGGTAGTAGTAGAGGGTGGAAAGATGGCTGTGGACTAAGAAGTGGATTCTGAGAAGTAGAAGATAATTTGCAGGTGATGGATGGCCAAATGTAGGTGGTATATTTGGCTCCTGTCTCACTTCATATGGAGTCTGTGTACCCAAAACAGCTGAGCACTGACCTCCTTTGTGGATTTTTCTAGAGATTCAGGATAAAAAAAAACCTCCTCTGTCCTCATGAAACAAACACAGTCTGTCCCATTGCTACTGGAGGTACAGTGGCTTAGCTGAAAGGCTGGCTCTTCCATCAATTCTTGAGTTTTATTTCCTGCTGATGGGCTGCCTCTCTCTTTTTCTTTCTCTTTTGCCAACAGTCTTTCATAGGATTTTTGCTAATGGTGAGCAAATCTCTCCGCTCTGTGATGTGACTGTGACTTTCTAAAAATAATAATAATAATATATATATACACATAAATGGCATCATCTATATATATATGTATTATATACAAAAGCTCCTTTTTCCCTTCAGTGTCCCTTGCTTATGACTCTAGTATAGTTGCGCCTGCCCTTGGCTCTTGGTTGGAGAGAAGTCCTGCCCTTCTCTCTCATTTCTGGTCTGTGTTTTCTCTGTCCTGCTGCATGCTTCTTCCTGCATGTGAACTGCTCTTGTCTGAGGAGCGGCTGCTACCTCCTTCCCTTGCGGCCATGATTGGGATTTTGCTTGCTGCTTGCTTGTGGCCTGAGCTGTGGCCAACTGTTTATAGGGATAATGGGTGAGGCTTATAAGAGTGCTAAAATGTTGTCCAGTTTAGGGACATAACGTTGAATTCCTTTTGAGGTTTCTAGTTGAATCAGAAAATTAGGCTCTGCTTTGGAACTGTTCAGTAAGAGCCGAGGTGGCGTAGTGGTTAGGGTGCAGTACTGCAGGCCACTTCAGCTGACTGTTATCTGCAGTTCAGCGGTT